AATGATGTTTCAGCCGAGCATGGTGGTGCTCGCCTATAATCCCAGCACTTGGGAGGCTGAGGCAGGAGGACCACCTAGAATTTCAGGCCAGCCTGAACTACATAGTAAGACCCTGTCTCAAAAAAAACCCAAACAAGATGATGATAATGTTTCAAAAGAGAAGGTAAACTATAAGAAACATGCAGATAAATTAAACCAATTAGAAAGATGTCAAACTTTGATTAAAATAGTTCTTAGAAGCGAGAAAATAAGACAGAGAAAAGAGAAAGTATAGTTTAGGATTGGAAATGGCCTCAGAAATTAAAGTTTGGTCATTTTACAGAAATGGAGACTTGGCCTTATTAATGTCTTTTACAAATAGTGACAGCAGACACTGGAAAATAGGTTATTGATTCTTACTCCAAAGGCCTTTCAATTATTCCCCAAATTATACTTATATACAGCAGTCAACATTTATATACTGTCCTAGATCCGCATAGTGTTTGAGTTTGTCTCATATAGACACCAGCTCAGGCTGCCTGTGGCCAGAGGCGGTGTGTGGCCAAACTGGTTTAGTTGTCCTAAGAAAGCTTTGGCACCTTAGCAAAAGAATGACAACACAAAATGTAACTTACAGGATCAATGGCTGTGGAAACTAGTGACATTTTTCCCTGTTTGTGAGAGAATATTTTAGAGATGAGGAAGGTCACTATTAGGGTACAAACAGTTTCTGGTCCCATCACCTGCTAAACAGATGAAATCTACTCACTCTAATAACTGACTCTGAACAATATGGGATCAAAATCAAAGAGCTTAAAGAAAAGCGCTATTGTCAGAAGTTAAAATGGATTTATAAAAATACACTGGGCTGAGTCTACTGTACAGATGGATTCTCTCCGTAGCACGCCCTTAAAATAGTAAAACCCTGTAATGCATTTAAAATAAGACTGCACAACTAAAATTTGGGAACATATCTTTTGAACAGAACAAGTTATGTTTGTAAGGGAAAAGCATTTTCTTTAACTTGATCAAGGCAAAGTGAAATTCAGATCATGCTCATAAATAAGCACAGGGTTAGATATTGGTCAGGCACAACCTTTTCTCTCAACTGACACTTCTAATACAGGAAACACCAAATTATGGAGAAGAAAAGAAATAGAACTAAATAAAAAATGATTTGTAAGGTGTGTGTATCTGTGTATGCACGTGCAGTTGGTAGAATTCAAAGGAAGCTGTTAAACCTTCCCCAATTAAAAGCTTGCTGACTAGGAACCCTTCTTTGTACAGCATGTTCCATGAAACTTGGCCACTAAAAATGCAGGGTTGTATTTCAGATTTCAAACTTAAAGCTTTGAAAGTATGTTTTAAAATTTCAAAACCAACAGTCTATCTAAGAAAGAAATCACTTTCCAAAACACTTGCATTTTAACTTCATCAGCTAGTCATAAGTTTTATAATCAGTAATTTTGATTTGTGCATCTTATAGCAATTAAAACCATTTTTTCTACACCAAGTCAGTAAAACAAGTTTGAAAGTTACATATTACACATAAAACTAATCTCTACTGCACAGTTAGCTATGTCTGAAATACAACCACACCATTCAGAAATATAATTAATCTCTTCCTGTGTTTATTTTATACCACATAACCAACATTGTGACCTAGTACAGGGAAGACGTATGGTTCGTTCATTCATTGTACTGGGGAGGGAAGACATATGTTTGGTTGGTTGGTTTTGTGGTACTGAGGATTGAACCCAGGGCCTTTACACTGAGGTACACCCCCAGCCTTTTCTTATTTTTGAGACGGGGTCTTACCAAATCATTAAGTTGCTCAGGCTGGGTTCAAACTTGCAATCTTTCTGCTCCTCCTCAGGTTCCCTGAGTGCTAGGTTTACAGTCATGCACCACTGCACCTGCCTGATGGTACCTATCTTTAAAAGTGTGCAGAACACACTTAACAATTAGCATGTTCTAGGGCTGACATAGTCCTGGAAGCCCTACCCTTGGAGGAGGATTCTGGTGAATGAAGAAAGTAATGGTCATGTAACGTTCACGAAAGCAAAAAATAATAGAATGATAGTGATTTATTTGAAAGGATTTGCTCCACAAGCTGTGGGAAGGGCATTCCTGAGCATAGGGAGCTGCTCAGATGCCCCCCCCCCACACACATTTTTGTCACACAACCTGGCCACATTCTTGGGCCTTATAAACCCACAAATTGATACTCATGTAGGGAGAATCAGATTTAATCCCAGATTTATATGACCCAAGGGAAAAGTTACAAACCAATACCTTCATGAAATATTCTGCTCAAGGACTCACAAACACCCATGTACTTCTTCATGTTCGTATCTCCCTATCCTTCCTGTGGTTTTGTCCATATATACATATATATATATATCCATCCCCCCCCCCAGCCCGCTTTCCCCAGTATTGTCCACTGATATCTGCTACAGGGACAGAAGAGTTCAGAGCATAGCAGTCCAGTGTGTCCAAAGCAACAGATGAAAGTGCAGGTGAGAGAATAGTTGGGGGAAGAAAAGAGAAACGATTTTGAAACAGTTTGGTTTCAAAGATTATGAGTAAAGAATGGAAGACTCTGGCATAGTTGCACACACTTGAAATCCCAGCTACTTGGCAGGCTGAAACAGGAGGAACGAAAATTCTACGCCGGACAGAGCAATTTGGCAACACCCTGTCTCAACATAAAAAATAAAGGGGGCCAGGGATGTAGCTCAGTGCTTTCTGGGTACTGCAAAAAGCAACAAAAAACAAAAAACTCTACTTTCCTCTTTAAGAATACTGTAATCCCAGGCCAGGGATTTGGCTCAGTGGTGCTGCACCTGCCTGGCAAGAGCAAGGCTTGGAGTTCAAGTCCCGGTACTGGGGGAAAAAAATACTGTCTTCCTTTCACTCTCAAAACTAAATTGTTTAAATAACAATGTTTTCAAGTAACACTAGAATGGACAAATTTTGAAAAACTAAATACAAACTATTTAAATTTGACAAGTTGGAAATTAACAAATTGTTAACAATAGATAATTCATTAAGTATCTACTGGGCATCTAATCCGTACCTGCATCTGGGCAAACAAGATAAAAACTAAAACTCACAAAGCTCACAAGAAAACTAAGTGAGTGAACAAATAAACAAACCAGTACAACGCAACGTTAATAACTGCTTCGGGAGCACAGCAGAAGGTGCATTCTCCTGGGTGGGCCAGTCCCTAAATGTAAGAGAGGGTGCCACCAGCCAGCAGGCAACATTCTTGGAGGGCCTTTCTGAAGCATCCGTGTACACTCTGGAAGGAAATGGGCATATGAATGCTGGACTGGACATGACCAAAAGTCATCAGGTACAAGAAACTGGCGTAGCTGGAGCTTGGTGGAGGAAGTAGAATGTAGAATGCTCAGAGTAAAATCTCAAAAATGGGCTAGAGTCCCCCACACGTGCAAGATTAAACCGTTTGTGGACTTTAACCTTGGAATACAGGGGCCTTCAACAAGGGCAGGGTCACATCTGCGGTTGAAGTTGTTAAATCTTTGGCTACACAATAAATGTGTATCGATAGCAAGTAATTCTTCAAGTGTGTACTTCAACGTGCAGAAATCATCTGTGATTATTTCAGGCCAAAATTACTTCCTCCCTTTTAAAACGACTTATGTTTCTGCTACTAATTACAGTACCAAAAATTACAGGAGTGCTCTCAATAAATATCAAAGACTGAAGGGGAAAAAGTGACAGCTGGTAACAGCTTCATCTAATGACACTACCCTGAAACCTTCATACCCATAAGGCCACACTTACTAAAGTCTGTATCAAAATCATGTCCAGCTGAAAAGAATCGATCAAATTAATTCATCTCCCACTATTTTAGATAAAACTTCTCCCTTAGAGCAAATTTCATTAAGTTCTTAAAACTAACTTCAAAGAACACATTGTCACTGCCCTGGATTCCTACTTTCACCGCTCCAGGAATCGTAAGCTACAGCTCCAGAACCGGGCCAAATGAGCCTACAGACAGGGAATTTCTCGGCGCCCCACTAGTATCCACACCTCGGTCTAGCAAGAAGGATCAAGTTATCACTTTGAAAACAGGTTCGTTCCCCCTCCTGGAGATGCGAGTGACCTGGGGCACATCTCATCTGGGGGTGTGTGTGGTAGGACCCACAGCACCGCGGGACCAGGGGAGGGACAGCAAATAGCACAAAGGGAAGGGAGCGACGCGGGGATGCCAGGCCGGGGGAGGGGACGCAGGCGGCCGCAGGACGCGCTCGGAGGACACTCGGAAGGAGGCTCGGGCCAAAACAAAAACAACAGAAAGTTCAGCGCGACGGTGGTAGCAGATTGGGCGAGCCCGTTCACGGCTGCCCATTGGAGAAGAGGAAAAACAGAGTCCCCCAATCGCAAGCGGCGGGGCTGCTCCCCTCGTGCAGCTGCGGCCCGACCCCGGCTCTGCCCGGCGGCCGCTACCGCTCCCTTCCGGCCGCGGCCACCACTGCAGGCCGTCCGTCCCGCAGCCCCGCCCCGCGGGCCGCTCGCCCCGACCCGGCCTGGTCCCCGCTCGGCCACCGCGACCCCTCACGCTCACGCCCCCGCCCGGCCGCCCGGCGCCGCAGCCGCCCGCCTTCTCCGGCTCACCGCTACCGGCTGCTGCTGCTCGGTCGCGTCCGAGGCCCCGCTGCCCGGCCGCTGCGATGGGAGGGGGGGAACCCGCGCTGCCGGGCCACCTTCCCGTTTCCTCAGAAAATTAATCACCAAAAAATAATTCCACAAAATAATGGAGAGTAAAATTCAAGATGGCGGCGCTAACCGTAGCACCACTCGCTCCATC